GATGTGCATTTGATCGGTGATTAGTTGGATGGTTTGTCTGTTATAAATCATAAAATGGGCTTTTTTAGGGAACAGACAAGTCGTGCCATTCAACAGATGTTTTTTTGTTACTGAATTCTCCCACAGATTTCTCCTCAGGTTTCTCCAAGTGGTGACTCTCTCCCTCAGAAAGGCTTTGCTATCCTTTCATTACTCCATTAAATGTTGAGTGATGTTAAATCAGTGACGTACTCATTGACAGAAGAACATCTTGAGTCTCAAATGCAACCTGAGCTTAGAAACGTTACAGATAAAACCATCGTCTACTTACTGGGTTTGTGGGTGAGATGTCGCTCATTAATTGCAGCTATAATTTAAAAAAAAGCTTCAACACCGATATGCTAACGATAAATTTGTCAGACCATCCCCCTGGAGTTGACTGACCTCCTCGCGGACAGGAAAGCGTGCGGCGAGTCATGATTCAGCACTTTATCGAATAATTTTGCAACGTGCGATCAAAGACCTGCAGACACGCCTTTAGAGAAGAGCACGGCAAGTTTACTGATAAGCCATATCAAATGACAAGACAGTGTGCAAACAGTTAGATATATGACCTACTGAAGGTATGTAAACAGTGATTACATGTAGGGTATTGATTGTACGACAGAGTAGTGGAGTCACGACTGTTATCTTTTACATACGAAACAACGAAAAAAGTGAACACGTCGTCAGTGATTAGTGGTTACTGAAATAGTGCATGTTATAGTGATACTGGATTCTAGTGCTCGACAGAAAGTTCATGCTATTTTAGGAATGAATGATCTAAATAGCAACAGCACGACAGGATTTATCATCAAGCCTCCAACGACGTCATAAAACGCTGCTTAGAAATGTGGCATTTAAACATAAAACAAATCAGGTCAAACAGTTAAAAAGGAAAACACACGTTTTCTTCTTTGCCAAACAAGCACGAAGCTCTTCACAAACGGATTTCAGCATAAATCAAAATTACGCCAATTTCATGAGTAAGAAATTAAGTGAAACTATTTCAGCGGTGCTTCACACGAGCGAGACATTGGACACGCTTCCCTTTATCCTGCTGCTACTGCTGAAGTAATACTGGTCGGCTCTGGTTCCACGCTACCGGGTTGAGCTGAAAAACTACAGCCAGAGGTTTTAAAATGAAGTTGATCCACAGCGTCCGAGAGAAATGCAAAATCCTGAAATGAGACTCCTATAGATGTGATATGCACGGACTTGAGAACCTCCTTGTTTTTCTGTAAACAAAGCATTTTAGGGCAGAACAAATAATACGAGTGAAACGTTCTGCCAGCAGCCGTTTGTCAAAGCTCGACTTGTGAACGTGGCTTTCCTTCTTTTTAAAACTCCGAGTTACTGACGGTGTTCTTTCAGCTGTTCCAGTAGCGGTACTTAATGGATGCACACACTAAGAAATGTGGCGATATCACATATAAAATATGGTTCTGGTTGAATAAGAGCCCGGTACTTTCCTGCTTAAATTCCTGGAGTTCTGATAGTTCAGAGCTAACTCGTCAAACAAAGCAGATTTGGGGACTTAAACGTTTTCAATTCTGTGTTTTTTCCCCCAATAGGAAAAGAAAAATCCGTAAAGTTTCATAAAAAAATAACATAAAATAGAGATTTCAGCATCATTACAATCAACTGGTTTGAAACTCCAAACCCTTACAAACAACGCAAAGGTGTCGTCTTCAGTTTGTTTCCTTAAAAAACTTCATGTTAAAAATGTGTTAAAAGGTGGAGTTTTGGTTAAATGTGGGAAGTGTCACTCTGGGATTAACAGCAGAAACTTCAGATCCATTGAACCTTTGAAATTACACCTCGAACATGGCAAACCTCCTCCTTTCGCCTCCTGGTCGGTGCTACGAAGTGAGCAGCGGCTGTCGTTCAGCAGCGGTGCTCTGAAAAGCAAAAAGCCAACACAAAGAACTTTAACTTAACACATTATCACAACAACGTGTGTAAATACTGGCATATTAGTATTTCACATATTTCATGTACAATGATACATATTTATGTCAATTTATATCAATGTGTGC